ACTGTTTCAAACTGTTTCTGGATATAGATATCAAACATAATTTTATAAAACATGTTTGTTGAAACAGTTTAAATAAAATGCAAGCTAAATAAAGAAGTGTTGACAAGATACAAAACAAGACAATTTCACTTACAAGGGTGACAAGGTAATTTATAGGAATATAGCTTATTGTAACTGTATAAATATATTGTGCGTTTCTACTCCCTGTGGGCTATGGTTCTTTTGGAAATCAAATATCTATTATATTTTGCAATTAATAATATTAACGTTTAGCCTAAGACATGTGTAGTTTAGTTATAGGTTGGTATTTTGCAATTATGTACCGTACATGCCCCTTAAGTAGAGTATATTTATTAACTGTTTACAATATTTGTGGTATATAATGTAGCCATGAATGCATGACCACATGACCCCACAAGATGAACTCCAATGGCTTCTAAATAAGACAATGGATGAAAAGTTCACGAATATTGAGCTTTATATATGATTCGGATTAAATACAATAATTATTAACCTAGCTTTATATAAAATGTACATACATGTTCTAATAATTGTATTTTGCTTCATACAATGCATATGTGTCAATGTGTGTGAAAACATTACATTATTCAGCTCACTCCCCTTTGGGGCTTTTCAGTCACCGCTTACATAAAGTATTAGGGTTACTTATGTTAGTCTAGACTATATATCTTTATAACAATGAGAATATGATATCACTTTTCTAACTGTTTTTATTCTAACCCACCCTGCCATATTTTGCCTTGTGGGAGAAAACCGGAGAAAAATATAAAATTCAATTACCTTGAAAAAACAGGTCTAAATTGCAATCCCTAAAATTTAGAATTTTCTCTTAAATCGCATTAAATCGCCTAAAATCGCTTTAAATCGCAGTGCTTCAAAGTCCCAGTTTTTCCTTAAATCGCCTAAAATCGCCCAAAATCGCATTATACCGCAGCGATTTAAGGCGATTTACCGCCCCAGAGTAGGCCTAAAACATTTGTAATCGTGATTTATCATATCTAAAAGCTCCTGCTGCGCACTCACATATAAATACCATAAAACACTCCTACGCGTTAAAAACATAAAACAGCACACAAAACTTATGCAAAGTTGAATTATTATATTATAAAAAATGGCAACCGCCGTAAACCCGCCAACAGTATTAATATAGTTTATATAAGCATATTGACGATAGTCGCTATATTTTCATAAGGTATCAGCCATTAACAAATCCAAACCCGATGATTCTAACACTGATGGCGAAATACATATATCCCCGGGTACATTATAATAATTATTATACGGAAAGGACGAACTAGACACGGTGAGGGGCTAGCTTTGTATATTATAGCCGAAAGGGAGAATCTGTCTCACTCAGACAGTTAGAGGTAATCTTGTACCTGCTAGACTAGAAAGTATCGCCTATCGGTGTAGAAATTAACCTTTCTTATAGAAAATCCTTTCCAATCAGTTCATTGTACGGACTGCCAAGTACAGACACGTATTTAATTTTTGAAAATTGCGACGCCGATCGTTTTAGGAAACATAAATCGTCATTACTATAGAAATCCAATTGAACACGCCATATTATAGAAAGGGACAATTCTTGTCGTCTACATACCAGAACAAACAGTAAATATATGATATTTAGGAAACAAAACACTGATCGCTCTATCGCTTCTGCCGCTAAAGGCCCGATTCACTTTCACACAGTGCATGGAATCAGAAGCCTGTTCGATTCAAGCAAGTTAACCATACGAATTCCCTTGCTTGTGGGCAATTGAATAGGAACTGAAAATGTCCAATTACAATTTCGCTGATTTGTAGCAATATTTATGCGTCTGCTTAATTATGACTGCTATACACCGAAAAAAAAATTTACACATTTTACCAGGCAGCAGTAAAATTACGATCTAAGTTTACAAGTAATTTTCGCCTACCTGATGTCACCTATTCACAAATTATGAAAACTGTACCAAAAGCTGTGGCGGCCTTCCCAAAATTCGACTAAACAGTATAAAATCCTCCAATCTCGAACTCCGAGCGTGCATTCCTTATGGTTAGCTGTGGCCCGAAACGAAGGTTCCGGGTTAATTCAAAGAAGCAATGAATATGATTGGTTGCTGTACAACTGATGGAATATTGCAATATAGCAAAAATTATTTTTTACCGTAATATTTTATATACAACATGGTTACATGGCGGTACGAGTGTTAGGAGTGTACAAATATTGTTTTTGTTTTTCAGAGCGGTGCTATACAGTATATATAACTACTACAAAGGAAATGTAAAGAAACGTACAGTTAATGCTGATAATATCACAACTGTCAAATGGAGCGTGAAAACTTTATTCATATTTGTGTTGTACAGGTTTCACTGTAGTTTTATATATAAATTGTGAAATTAAAATACAGTACATTGTACTACTATACTATTTCAGCCGTTCCGCACGTTGTAACCAATAATCTATTGGCGTTGTAAAGCCATTCTGTGCAATAGTATTGCCGCGTTGTAATGGGTTTACAATTACAATTGCCGAAACCCTAAAGTTGATTACCTTTTTTTCTCTAAATAATGGCTTTACAACGCCAATAGATTTTTCGAAAGATGAGGACCAAGGCTGTGGATAAGGTGGCGTTGGCAAGTCGTTTCTCGTGGTCTTAATCCTGTCTTTATTAATTTAGTGCTTCAATAAACAGTTTAATTCATCAAAACAGACTGGTAGATGCAGAAATCTCCGTAGAAAATACTTTGAAGCGCCTATTTCTCATTACTCAAATACAACAGCTTGTTTTAGCATCAGCTTGTTGTTACTCAGTGATGATATTAACCCAAACCCTGGACCAGAAAGAGTAAAGACAGAATTTTGATACGGAATTCAACTACCCCATGCAGTACATGATGGCAATATAGTCCAGTCAATCTGTGACCAGAGGTCAAAGAAATTGCAATAGAATTTTTCTGAGTGGTAAAATGTGAGGGAAGGTGTTCTGATTAACATACTAAAAATCCCAAAAAATGCCTTCGGTGGAACATGGTGAAAATCAAGTTTTTCTTACTTCTTCCTATAGAAAACCATTGTGGACAGAATGTTCCGAATTTTGAAATCATTTTTAGGCAAATGTAACCTGCATTACTGAAAAGCTTAAACAAAACTATATTGAGGTCAATTAAACCGTTATATTCAATCTACTTGTCAGTTTGTCGTTATTCTAGCTCAAAGTTGGAAAAATAGCGCAAAATTTGCGAAAAATACAAATTTATGGCATTTTAAATATCTTGTATAACTTCGGCTGGATAGGCAAAAGCAAGGTAACCGTTTAATGATCTATATTTTAGTTTTTTCTAAGCTGTCCAATGATGCATGTTATATTTGCAAAAGATAATTTCAAAATTTCAACATTTTGTTCACAATGGTTTTCTATAGTTAGAAGTAAGAAAAACTTGAGTTCCACCCTATTCCACCGAAGGGATTTTTGGGATTTTTGATATGTTAATCAGAACAACTTTTCACACACTTTACCACTGAAAAAATATCTATTGCGATTACTTTGATCAGGACGATGTACTTATGGTGATTTGACTGGACTAATATATAGAAAACTCCGTATCACGGAATCAAACTTGTGTCGTAGAATATTAACACATATCCAATAAATTGGAAGAGATCAAATTAACCCTCAGGACAGAAGAAATCGATATCCTTTGCATTCAGGAGACTTTCTTGACTAATTTAATTAACCGCGAAGATAGTCAGTTCAGTGTTAGTTGAGAATTACAATTTATTTAGAAAAGACAGGAAACTCGGTTTTGGCGGCGGAATTTTTGTATTTGTACATAATCGCTTAGAAGTTAATCACTGCTTAAATTTAGAAGATCCAGATCTAGAACTTATGTGGCTGAATATACAGCAAAGTGGCCATCCATGTAGATTTCTATGCGGTTTCATTTATCGCCTCCGAATACGTTATCATCTACGAACTCTTTAATGACTAGCAATATTGGAAGGCTATCCATATCCTAAATTCAAAGGAAGTCTTATTAATGGGTGATTTCAGCATAGACCATCAAATCAGTGAAACGTATACATCTCATAGACTAATTCAAAGCCTAAACGACTATGGCCTACAACAACTAATTTCTGGAATTACTCGGCGAGCATCACAATCGTATTTAGACCACATTTACACCACAGATTCCTCAAAAGTCTTAGCATTGGGAATTTTAAATTATGGTTCCTAGCTCTGACCATTTACCTGTTTATGCAGTCCATAATCACTTTGTCAAAACAGCACGACCCCACAATGTGATTAAGTACAAAGACTTTAAAAACCTTGATGAAACCAACTTTCGAGAAGACATGCGAAAGATTTCATTCGCGGATATAAATGCCGACCAAGAAATCTTATAGTAAATGAAGGGTCGAAAATTGGTATTTACAAGCTAACATTGTAATGAACGAGCTTTACCCTTGCTTCAAAAAAGGGTCAAGCGATTACGACAACCACAATGCATGGTTTACACGAGATCTACTTTTAGCTATTAATCGCCGAAACAAGCTGCTGAAAAAAGCTCGGAAACCAATAACAAAGTAGATTGAACTGAGTATAAGAAACATAGAAATATTGCATATAATTATAAAATCAGAGCGGCCTATTTAGACTGCACTATCGGCCAATGTAAACAATCCAAAAGTCTACTGGGACCATGCACATGCATGAATAACTTAGTCAAAAGAAAACCATTTCCGCAACAAATTACCCTTCAGCTGAATAATAAATTAACTTCAGATCCCATGGAAGTGGCTGGAGCATTTAATTATGCATTTGTGAATATAGCACCAAATATATTCATCTATTAGCTTCCTGATAGCTCCTGACCTAAATAAACTTAAACAATTCGTAGACAGTAGCAAAACTCCGGGTGATAAATTTAATATTCCTTTCATAACGAAAAAATTCGTCATTGAGACTATTAATCTTATGTCCACTACAAAAGCGATGGGCTTAGACCAAATTTCTGTCAGAATTTTGAAAATTTGTATGAACGAGATTGCAGACTCCCTATTAGAGAACGAGATTGCAGACTCCCTATTAAATCTACTGATCAACAAAAGTATAGAAACTTTCACCTTTCCTGAATTGTGGAAGATTGCACGTGTCAACCCAATCAGCCTACAAATCTGGGTTAAAAACATCCGAGGAGAATTATCGACCGATCTCAATCCTTCGAATTATTTCCAAAATATGTTAAAGACACATTCATTTGAATTTAATGTCGTGGTTGCGACAACATCATCTTTTACTGAACGACCAGTCAGCATTTATAAAAAATCATTCTTGTGTGACCTAAAAAGCTCAAGATGTTTGCGGACGACTCAACCTTACTAGCTGTTACAAAGTTCTTATGTAAATCGGTCGCGAGCGACACAAATAAAGCCTCATCAAAACAATGAATAATAAAATTTACTCTTAAAACCTCAACAATTCATGCTCTCTCTTCTAATAAATGTTCATATCTCTCTCTCCCGTCCTTGTCAATCAAAAACCACTTTACTATCATAACAATGCCATATATGGTCCTTGCATGTTCATTAATATCTTAACTAATATAAATAAATAACTTAATAATTTGTGACACGACTCCCATTTAGGAGTGATTTACTTGTCAACTCACTCCAAACCACAAATTCTGAAGTGACTGTCTCAAAACTACTGTTTAACGTCCTTGCAAAGTTATTGGCGTCCTCAGTAAACTCTGCTGAGATAGTCCGCACCTACATTCTCTGAACCCTTGATGGACTCTATCCTCATCGCATAACTCTGTAGAAACATAGCCCAGCTCATAATACGATCATTCAAAAACTTCGCTCGGTTTAGGTATATTAATGGTTGATGATCCGTCTGGAGTACAAACTCTCTTCCGTAAAGATAGACTCGAAACTTCTGTATCGCCCACACGATCGCCAAACATTCTCTTTCGATGGTGCTGTACTTGCATTCTCTCGGGGATAACTTTCTACTAGCATAACTGACCGGTAATAATTTCCCATCATGATCCTGCATCAGCACCGCTCCGATTCCAACATCTGAGGCATCGGTTCTCAACACAAACAGCTTGGCTGAATCTGGGAGGTGAAGGATGGGTTCACTCGTGAGTTCCCTCTTTAATGTCATGAATGCCTTTTCCTGCGGTTTCTCCCATGATACCTTGTTCGGTTGCCCCTTCTTGGTCAAATCAGTTAGGGGTGCTGGCTTCGCCGCGTAATTAGGGATGAAGTCGCGATAATAACCGGTCAGCCCGATAAACGCCCTAACCTGTTTCTTGGTCTTTGGTCTGGTCGCACCTTCGATCTTTCTGACATTCTCTTCCTGCAGACCTTTGATCCCTTCCGAGACTCGGTGACCAATCACTTCGATGGCTTTCGCGCCCATCACACACTTTGTAGGTTTCGCTGTAAACTTAGCCTCGGACAGCCTGCGAAACAACTCATCCAGGGCTACCAAATGGCCTTCCCATGTCTCTGTGTGCACGATGATGTCGTCCACGTAGTTGTCGACATCGTCGAGGTCATCGATCAGTTTCCTCATTCCTCTCGCTAACGTTGCTCCCGAGTTAACCATTCCGAATGGCATTCTGATAAATTCGTAGGTCCCGTCCGGTGTAACAGACGCCGTCTTGGGAACATCTTTCGCCGCGACGGGAATTTGCCAGTACCCTTTGCTCAAATCAATTCTCGTGAAATATTTTTTCTTGGCCATCTTTTGAAATATCTCCTCGGCAGTATTACCTGGTGCAGGGTCGAAAACCGTGAGCCGATTAAGCTTCCGATAGTCAACACACACTCTGTTCGTACCATCCTTCTTACGTACGACCACGACCGGTGACGCATAGGGAGACTTCGATTCTCTAATCACGCCCATCTGCAGCATTGCTTGGATATCCTCCTTTAGGGACTCTCTCACGTTGTAGGGTATTGCATACGGTTTGGATCGAATAGGTTCCTCGGACGTCACCTCTATTTGGTGTTCTGTAAGGTTACTATCGCCCGGCACGTCGGTGAAGACGTGTTCATATCGATCGATCAGTTCTTCTAATTGGACTCTCTGTTCCTCAGTCAGCTGCTCACCTAAGACCACGTCTGCAGCTGTTTCCTTCGGTACTGTGGGACCAACTCCAGCAGTTCTTCATCATCAACTGCTCCATTGGACGCACCGACACTCGTCTCAATTATGGAAGCTGCAGTTAGGTGAAGAACTGGGCCGCTGACACTGTCCCCTTTGTCGTCGCCGTCATCACCTCCATCCAATTCCTGCTTTCGGTTATTAACATCAGCATTCTTTCTTTCAATATATTTCTTGAGCATATTCGCGTGGGACGTCTTCACCTTTCCGCCGACCTGAATTCCATAATCGTTGGTTCCAACAATCTTTTCGACTTCGAATGGGCCCTTCCACAGCATGAGAAGCTTGTTCTTATCAGTTGGCAACAAGATGAGGACCTTATCTCCGACCACGAACTTCCGGTCTTTCGCATTCCGGTTGTAATATCGCTGATATCTCGCTTGTGATCGTTTCAATTCCTCACGTGCAAGCTTGAGGGTCTGCTCCAGTTTCTCCCGTAAATCAATCACGTACTGGTAACTCGTCTTCACTTCCGCCTCATCGAACTCTTCCGTCCTTAGCTCCTTCAAAATGGTCATGGGCCCCCTGACTGTCCGTCCGTAGAGCAGCTCGAATGGGGAAAATCCCATTGAAGCTTGAGGTACCTCCCGATATGCAAACAGAAGGGCATTGATGTATCGGTGCCACTGCTTAGGTTGTTCCGAACATAACCGCTTCAGCATACACTTCAAAGTTCCGTTGAACTTTTCCACCAATCCATTGCACATTGGGTGGTATGGGGATGTTGTCAGCTGTCGTATACTCAAGAGTCTTGATACCTCAGCCATGCACTCCGACACAAACTGGGCCCCCATATCACTCAGGACTTCCTCTGGGACACCCAGGCGACTATACATGTCGACCAACGCTTCGGCTACTGATTCGGTTGTTATAGACTTCAATGGCACTGCGTCTGGGTACCGAGTTGCATAGTCCACTAACGTAAGGATATATCGGTGTCCGGATTCGCTCGGAGGATATATCGGTCCGACTAAGTCTACCGCTACCCGCTTAAACGGTGTGTCTATCAGTGGCATCTTCTCTATTGGCACCTTCGAGACATTTCCCTTTGCAACTGTCCGCTGACATATATCACAAGACTGACAAAATCTAGTTATATCGCCGTGGATGCCTGGCCAGTAGAAGTTGCCAGTGATCTTATCTGTGGTCTTCTTCACACCGAGGTGACCCCCTAGAATGGAACTGTGAGCAACGTTCATGACTTGCTGTCGAAGAGGTTGCGGCACCACCACTTGGCGGGTCGTCTGTTCACCATTTGCATCGAAAATCTTGAATACCCGAAAAAGTATACCGTTCTTCTCCTCGAATGACACCTCACCATCATGGATTTTCTTCGGATCCGTCTGACTGCGATACTTCTCCAAGCTCGGGTCTTCCTTTTGTAACCGACTAAGATCATTTCGGTCCACGGCCGATCCCCTAAGTTCCTCAGGAATTCGAAGTGGCTTCAGGGTACTACTCTTTTTGGCTTGGGCACGGGTGGTTACAGCTGATGCCTCTTGCCAGGTGGGGTCAGGATCGTCCGGAGCTCTTGCCCCAGGGACGTTGCCGATAATGAGATCATAGATTGTCTCAGGGAGGCATTGTGCCTCGACCTGACCTCTCAGATAAGGTGTATCTACGGTTATCTCCGCCAATGGGACCTCGCGAAGGGTGTTGTCAATCAGTAACATATAGCCAACCCGTCCTGTCAATTGCTCGTCAGCTACTAGGGATCTGCGTACTACCACCCCACTACACCCTGTATCTCGCAGAGTGTCGACTATTTTCTCACCCACTCTGCCTCTGACAACTGGCATCTTTCTCGCAGTGCTGTCGACCAAGGACACACTACCGCTCTTAATAAAAGGTAAAGTTTTACCATTTCTGAGTAGTAATTGATCACCATGGATACACGACTCCAAATTCGTGTCGTTTTCAGGGGGTGGCCCTGGTCATGTAGGGCTGCCCCGGCTTTCTCTGTGTTCTTCTTATCCCTCATCACCTTGCACTCTCTTGCCAAATGGCCAGTGCGATCGCACAGAAAGCAACGTTTTTCAACCTTGGCGGGAGACTTGTTTGGGTTCTTGCTGCATTCAATTGCCTTATGGCCATACCCTCCACAGGTAAAACATTGCATCCTCCCCCCTGGTTTTCCTCCCTTCTCGTTCCCAGTACTTCCGCTTGGGGGATATTTCCCTTTGGGTGGCTTGGATGGGGAGTGTAATTTCTTCCCATAAGCAATCAGGAATTGCTCAGCAACTTTTGCCGCCTCGTCTAAGTTTTCGGGGTCTCTTTCTCGCAGATAAATTGCTAAATCCTCAGGGCATGCATCAATAAGTTGTTCCTTAACAAACAGTTCGCACAACGCTTCGAATGACTTTTCCGTTTTTGCTAGGTCAATCCAACGAGTTAAATATCGTTTTAGTCTAGTTATAAATTGTTCCGGGCTTTCCCCCTCTTCCGGTTTGCTGTTCCTAAATCGTACTCGAAACCCGTTCTCTGTCAGATCGTATCTCTTCAACAGGGCTTCCTTCAACTCTTTATAATCTACTGCGGCTGTTTCTGACATCCTGGAGTAAACGTCTAGCGCCTTACCTGTCAACAAAGCACTCAGCGACGTCGCCCAAATCGACTCGTTCCATTTATTGCCTTTCGCGAAGCGTTCGAACCTTTGTAGGTAGCTATCCAAATCATCCTGACCGTCGATAAACTGTGGTAACTTCGGCATCTTCGCTGTCGAGATTCCCGGGTGATGTTCGCTAACGCTCCCGTTTGTATTAACTGCTTGTACTTCAAGTTGCTTCATTTCCAGTTCGTGCCTTCGCATCGCCTCTTTCTCTCTCGCTTGGGCTTCGAGTTCGTTGTCGTTCTCTCTCCTCCGATTCTAGTTTCTTAACGTCGCGCTCTCGCTGTCTTTCTTGTCGATCGTCGTCTACTTTACGCCTTTCGATTTCTTGTTGATCTTTAACAAAGTCTAACAGTTCTTTTTCCTTCAAACCAAACTCTTTGCCTAACTCAATCCACTTCTCCATCGCCGTAAAATTCTCTCTATTTACGCCGTAAATATCTCAACGTACGTTGAATTTCTCAATCCCGATATTTTCCCAAAAATATATCTCGTTTACCGCTCGATAAACAATACTTTTCGCTTTATATTCGCTCTCGTTTGACCGATTCCCGCCTGAGCCCCCAGTGTTACAAAGTTCTTATGTAAATCGGTCGCGAGCGACACAAATAAAGCCTCATCAAAACAATGAATAATAAAATTTACTCTTAAAACCTCAACAATTCATGCTCACTCTTCTAATAAATGTTCATATCTCTCTCTCCCGTCCTTGTCAATCAAAAACCACTTTACTATCATAACAATGCCATATATGGTCCTTGCATGTTCATTAATATCTTAACTAATATAAATAAATAACTTAATAATTTGTGACACTAGCAAACGGAAAAACATACTGTATACAGTCGAACAAGACTAACAATATAACACCATGCCCATAATTTTGACTCCTCAATGTGCCGATAAATTGGTGAAATCATATTGCTTATTGTTTCAAATACTGAAATACCTCATATCGAACACTTTTTACAACAGATCTAAATATAAATGCCTACATGTAATATCACCAGAAAGAAATAAAGCTACTTATCCTTATTTGAATTATTCAAAATATTGTCGATTTGTGAAAATCCTCGGAAAATCCAACATGCCATGCCATGTACTGTATCATGCGAGCGCAATACAAAATAAATTTTGACCGCCCCCCTCGTTTAAAAAACTTCCTGAAGCCTTAATTATTTACAAACAGACAGACACAATTTCAAAAAGACAGACACAATTTCACGAAATCGAAATCTCGATCGACTTTTCATAACTGGGTCGAAGAGACGGGACACAATCATGTAAACGCAGGCAATACTTCATGTCAAGAGAAGTGTGCTGCCTTCGGCAGCAACAATAAATTTATCAACAGTCGCCTATGGTTTATTTTGCACATGTAGACTGTAAATATTTCTAGTTTTTAGGTTGTCACGTTCATTATTCCGCTTGTATTTTCACAGAAAAGTCGCTCTTTGTTGCTTCCATTTTGAATTTTTGACAACCTTCGGTACACTTGACATCATGTTTGCAAGGTAGATTTCAATAATGTTGACGCACGCGCAGACGTTTTTACGCGGTGTTGTTTCAAACATCATTAATAATTTATAAGCTTATTGGCAAATCCATGTCAACCATAATATGTCATATGTCGTGAAGAGGCCGTATATACCACATCAAACTCATCTTCATTAGTATTCTTTATATAAAAGTTCATCACAATTTATTGTATTCTTTATATAAAGAATACTAATGAGACGGCATGTATTGTAATCGTGTTTGAAGCTATTCAAAACATTTGTAATCGTGATTTATCATATCTAAAAGCTCCTGCTGCGCACTCACATATAAATACCATAAAACACTCCTACGCGTTAAAAACATAAAACAGCACACAAAACTTATGCAAAGTTGAATTATTATATTATAAAAAATGGCAACCGCCGTAAACCCGCCAACAGTATTAATATAGTTTATATAAGCATATTGACGATAGTCGCTATATTTTCATAACGTATCAGCCATTAACAAATCCAAACCCGATGATTCTAACACTGATGGCGAAATACATATATCCCCGGGTACATTATAATAATTATTATACGGAAAGGACGAACTAGACACGGTGAGGGGCTAGCTTTGTATATTATAGCCGAAAGGGAGAATCTGCTTCACTCAGACAGTTAGAGGTAATCTTGTACCTGCTCGACTAGAAAGTATCGCTTATCGGTATAGAAAGTAACCTTTCTTATAGAAAATCCTTTCTAATCAGATCATTGTACGGACTGCCAAGTACAGACACGGATTTAGTTTTTGAAAATTGCGACGCCGATCGTTTCAGGAAACATAAATTGTCATTACTATAGAAATCCAATTGAACACGCCATACTATAGAAATGGACAATTCTTATCGTCTACTTACCAGGACAAACTGTAGATATATAATATTTAAGAAACAAAACACTGATCGCTCTATCGCTTCTGCCGCTAAAGGCCCGATTCACTTTCACACACTGCATGGAATCAGAAGCCTGTTCAATTCAAGCAAGTTAACCATACAAATTCCCTTGCTTGTGAGCAATTGAATAGGAACTGAAAATGTCCAATTACAATTTCGCTGATTTGTAGCAATATTTATGCGTCAGCTTAATTATGGCTGCTATACACTGAAAAAATATTTTACACATTTTACCAGGCAGCAGTAAAATTACGATCTAAGTTTACACGTAATTCTCGCTTACCTGATGTCACCTATTCACAAATTATGAAAACAGTACCAAAAGCTGTGGAGACCTTCCCAAAATTCGACTGAACAGTATAAAATCCTCCAATCTCGAACTCCGAGCCTGCGTTCCTTATGGTTAGCTGTGGCCCGAAACGAAGGTTCCGGGTTAATCCAAAGAAGAAATGAGTATGATTGGCTGCTGTACAATGGAATATTGCAATATAGTAAAATTATTTTTTACCGTAACTTTTTATATAAAACATGGTTACATGGCGGTATACGAGTGTTAGGTGTGTACGAATATTGTTTTTGTAGTCAGAGCGGTGCTATACAGTATATATAACTACTACAAAGGAAATGTAAAGAAACGTACAGTTAATTCAGATAATATCACAACTGTCAAATGGAGCGTGAAAACTTTATTCATATTTGTGTTGTACAGGTTTCACTGTAGTTTCATATATAAATTGTGAAATTGAAATACAATACATTGTAGTACTGTACTATTTCAGCCGTTCCGCACGTTGTAACCAATAATCTATTGGCGTTGTAAAGCCATTCTATGCAATACTATTGCCGCGTTGTAATGGGTCTACAATTACAATTGCCCAAACCCTAAAGTTGATTACCTTTTTTTCTAAATAATGGCTTTACAACGCCAATATAGATTATTCGAAAGATTAGGACCAAGGCTGTGGATAAGATGGCGGTTGGCAAGTTGTTTCCCGTGGTCTTAATCCTGTCTTTATTAATTTAGTAGTGCTTCAATAAAGAGTTTAATTCATCAAAACAAGACCCTGATAGATGCCGAAATCTCCGTAGAAAATACTTTGGAGCGCCTATTTCTTATTACTCAAATTGTCGAGAATTGACAGTACTTTGTACATTATAGATATCTTGCACGCATTCTAATATAAACAGTTCATTATTAATATCTTATATCAAACACTGTTAGTTAATTGAACTAGGATAGAATTACACTTGCACTAGGATAACTGGGACATTCAGGATAATTTGATAATCACCTTTTTGTTGTATATAGTTTTCGCACTGGCTTTTGAGCTTGTGTTAGTGTAAATAATACATATTCAAACTATGGTGTAGATTGTCCTTGATTCTATCATAGACAATCCAGAAGACAGGGACTGGAAACGCCTAATGTTTTGCGCTTGCCATCCGTGATGTGCTTGCGTGACGCTTGTGCCATCATGCCATGTGAGTGAATGGCCTGTTGCTTCGAAAAAGAATAAAGCGATAGATTGTGGACCGGTACTTGTCTGCTGTTTTACAGCTCTTTATATGCTGGAAAATTGTTTAAATAATCTACACCGAAAAGGGAGTTAGGTATATCACATTGTGTGTAAAGTTTATAAAATGGATCTGCTTATTCAGAGACGAGTGCAAAGAATTTTCGAGCTTGTTCGAAAATTTTGATTTCCAATTTGGGGTGGACTTTCAGGCACGATTCAGGTTTGTTTGCGTATTGTAGTTTTCTTTAATTAAGTTTACGTATATTTATTCAGTTTTGCTTCACTGTAATTACGTTATATAAATTGATTGAAGTTATCTTTTCGAAGTTTTCCTTGATCTGTATTTTAAAAGTTGAATTTGGCAATTTCGGTTTAATTAATATACCTTCCATTTTATTGACAACAAATCCTTTCTTTCTCGAAAACCCTTTTTGCTAAGGCATCCATTATTAAAAAGAAATAAAAACAAGGTTTCAGTTATTTTTACGGTGAGTTTTGTATGTTTGACACTCTTAACTTTCGACAATGTCAACAACAATGGCAATGGCGATATTTTTGCTGTCAAAAACATTATACGCAATCATTAAAAGGTGGTTTTTGCCTTTGTTTGACCCAATATAAGTTTAAAAACCGGAGAAATGCATCCACATGTCTATATTTGTTTTAAATATGTAATTGCAAATCCTGATCTTTATTTAAACTGTAGTCGCAGGGTTCGAAGTGAGTACAAACTTTGCCGGACAACAACAATGGCAATGCCAATGGCGACTTTTTTACAAAAACATTACACAAGCATTCAAAAGGCGGTTTTTGGCTTTGTTTGACCCGATATAAGTTTGAAAACGGGACAAGTGCATCCACATGTCTATTTTTGTTCAAAATATGTAAATTACAAACTCTGAACTTTGTTTAATTAAACTATAGTTACAGGGTTCGAAGTGGGGGCAACAGAAATGGCCATCTTCTAGTTGGCGCAAAAGTAATTTTGCCTGTCAAATTTTCAGTAAACATTTTTGGGCGAAAAGTTACCAAATTGATATAAAAGATAGCCTATTCGATAGATTGCGATCTTTTGATTACACATACTTTGACCAAAAGGTACAAAAATAGTTTATTTTTCAGTTGCAGGGTTAGTTTTGCCAGCAAGTTTTCAGAATAATATGACAATAAACTCGACAATAACAATTGCCGGCTAACAACATTCGTAACTCTGTCAATCAAATTCAGTAAACATTTTTGGGCGAATAAGTTACCAAATTGATATAAAAAATAGCCTATTCGATAGATTACAATCTTGTGATTACACATACTTTGACCAAAAGGTCCAAAATAGTTTATTTTTCAGTTGCAGGGTTAGTTTTGTAATTCTGTCAATCAAATTCAGTAAACATTTTTGGGCGAATAAGTTACCAAATTGATATAAAAAATAGCCTATTCGATAGATTACAATCTTATGATTACACATACTTTGACCACAAAGTACAAAAATAGTTTATTTTTCGATTGCAGGGTCAGTTTTGCCAGCGAGCTTCTAGAGTAGTATGACAATAACAATTCCGGGCTAACAACATTCGTAATTCTGTCAATCAAATTCAGTAAACATTTTTGGCTGAATTTGGTGCCAGATTGATATAAAAAATAGCCTATTCGATAGATTACAATCTTGTGATTTCAAATGGCTTCATCGTCAAAGACAAAATAGGTTGAGTTTGTAGTTACAGGGTTAGTTTTGGCAGTATTTTCTGGAAATAATTGGTGCGTGCGCGATTTACCGATAGCACGATCCAAATTTTACATTTAGCAGCACTATAAAATAGAAATAAATGAAAATTTGGACGTATCTACCTTTGTTAGTATAGCCGCTCCACGACTACGATCCCAAAATTCAGATAATACGCTTTTTTTACGATATATTTTGCATAAACTACACGCATTTGCCTTTGTTTTTATGTAAATTTAAAGACTTGTTACCGTGGTAACCAAGTAATTGCTACGTGACAGGCACATCACGGATGTCACGATTTGTCATCATATTTCTAGCTTACGTTTCCAGTCCATGTCTTCTGGATTGTCTATGATTCTATCGAAAGAACCTACGCTACATTAGATCTCGTTATCGTCGTAGACAAGTTAACACAACGCAAGACAACACTATAGCTTATTTCGAGTGTCGAACGAGACATTGGTGCCGTGACCAGGATGGACGGTCTAAAACGCGCAAGGATAAAACGTGGCGCTCAACGTGCACAAGCAACTAAAATTTGGAACGAAGCTGAACTACTCATAAACGGTGAAACGAACGAAGTTAATATTGAGAAACTACGGGTCATTCTGGCAACGTACGACGCGAAAATCGAATTACTTCGAAAGTTGGATGAGACTGTATCAGATCTAATCGAAGACGAAAAGGGCTTAGAGACGGAGATCGTTGAAGCCGACGACTATTTAACGGAACTAACTAAAAAGAGGTACACCATAGAATTCTTTATCAATCAAAGTACAATCCATAGTAATTTGTTAGCTAGCCCTATGGCTACCACAACACCACAAAACGGACACGTTTTTCCTACTCAAAGTACGCCGCCACAATCGCACAATACAAATAGTCATAGATTACCAAAGTTAGCACTGCCAGTATTTAGCAGCAACGTGTTAAAATGGCAAACCTTTTGGGACTCTTATAAGGTCGCTATACATGAAAACTCCAGCCTAAGCGACATACAAAAAATTACATATCTCAAAGCTCAAGTGTCAGGTGAAGGCGCGCAATCAATCGAAGGTTTACCGCTTACAGAGTCAAACTACGCGCAATGTATTGCAATTTTGGAGCAGAGATTTGGTCAACCCCACAAGATAACAAACGCACACATGCAAGTCTTGTTAGATCTACCATGCCCTTCAAATTCAGTGTCTACCTTGCGCCAATTTTACGATAGCATGGAAAACCATATTCGAGGTCTCGAGGCGTTAGGAAAGAAACAAGACACCTACGGTGACCTTTTAATCCCCATTGTTTTGGGTAAACTTCCCACTACAATCAAGCACAACTTAATTCGAGAGAACGGTTCAACTAAATGGTCAGTAGAACAATTACGCAAATCAATTTTGAAAGAAATTCAAATACTAGAAGCTGGGGAAGAAACAGACTCTTTCAGTCAAATTAGTCAATTAGGCAAACCTGTCAACACCCTGCCATCAACATCGAGTCTACTGACAAACGCATCCGGAAAGTTTGGAAACCATGCCAACGCAAAAGAATTTTACGCACCTAAAAATCGCCCTACAAACAAGAGTTTATGCATTTTCTGTTCGGGCCATCATCGCCCTAACGAGTGTACTGTAGTAAAGGATCCCACAGCCCGTAAGAATATTGTTTTCCAAGCGAAGCTATGTTTTAACTGTTTGAACAATCACCGCGTATCTGATTGTAACTCGAGAAATCTCTGTCGAGGGTGTCACAAGAAACACCACACGAGTCTTTGTAATGAAACGAACAAAGATGCGACAAAAAATACCGGGAAAAATCATCCGCCGACTAACGACGCACCGAATATTACGACGCAAGTTCAAAACGCGAAAACCAATTCACCCGTCGACAAAATCCCAGACCGTGTGCACACGTCTCTGTCAGTTAACGACTACTATGGGAGACAAACATTCCTCAAAACTGCCATTAATACGATAGCAACACAGAACAAAATAGCGACAGCACACATTCTCTTTGATGAAGGTGCTCAACGTTCCTTTATCACTCAAAGTTTAGCTGACGAACTCCAACTTACGCCTGAAGGAAGTGAAACCTTAAATCTATCAGTCTTTGGCGGGTCTTCGACTTCTATCAAACAAATAGACATGGCTACGATTAATCTCAACACCGAAAATGGCGAAAAAATTCCTTTACAGGTATTGATAATTCCCACAATCGCAGTTCCGCAGAAAAGTTTCCCCACCGCCGAAATTCGAAACCTCCCACACCTCAACGGCTTGAAACTTGCACACCCTATGACGACTGATGATCATTTCCACATATCCCTCTTGATTGGCGCGGACCACTACTGGGACGTTGTCGAAGACGAAATCGTTAGGGGACCGGGCCCCACTGCAGCGAAATCTAGAATCGGTTATTTGCTTTCTGGACCAACAACTGGGCCAGCTGTTGCGACAACATCACTCAATGCAACCATCTTAAAAGTTATTGTTTCAAACGAACACGAAAGTAAAGCTTTAGAAAGATTTTGGAATCTAGAATCTATTGGGATTCTTCCAGACGAAATAACAACCCACGAAGACAAGTTTAGTTAAGGAATATCAGGATTCTTCAATACGACTCGTGAATGGCCGATACTGTGCAAAGTTACCATGGAAACCTAACCATGACCCCCTTCCCACCAACGAAGCAGTAGCGCGAGGAAGAACCCGTTCCACTGTAAGGAGATTAGCCAAAGACCCCAAGACGTTGCAAACCTACAGTGAACTTATTAACGAACAGTTAAAACGAGGTTTTATTGAAAGAGTTACAAATCCAGAAACATCAAACGGTTATTGCCACTACATCCCACATCACGCTGTATTAAAAGATTTTCCTACGACACCTATTCGTATTGTGTACGACTGCAGTTGCAGCCCAAATGCCGACCAAGCAAGCCTGAACTCATGCCTTTCTACTGGCCCTGACATCCTTAATGATATGACCGCCATACTCGTCCGTTTTCGATGCTATCGGTATGCTTTAACCGCAGACATTGAAAAGGCCTTCCTGAACATCTCTCTAGATGAAGGAGATAGAGATGCAACAAGATTTTTTTGGCTATCCGACCCAACCAACCCCGAAAGCAGCTTTGACGTATATCGGTTCAAATCTATCTTGTTTGGTGCATCGTGTTGCCCGTTTATCTTGAATGCAACGATCAAGAAGCACCTTGACAGCTACAACGATCCAATCGCACAACGAATGAAAGCCGACATCTACGTCGACAACTTGGCTTCTGGTACAGATAACGAAGACGAAGCCGCGATCTACTTCAAACACACCAGATCCGTAATGTCTTCTGCCAACTTCAATTTACGTGAATGGAACTCGAACAGTTCAAAGATTTGTGCACTCGCCAATGAAGAAAATGCTCAAGACGACAACACCGAAGCAAAACTGCTTGGTCTTCGCTGGAACGGTAAAGTCGATAAGCTGAAGCTTCAAGAAAAACGTCCAGTTACTGATCCCAATGAAAACGTGGTGTCCATAACTAAGCGAGATGTTTTACGAGCGTCTTCTAAGATATATGATCCCCTCGGTCTCATCACTCCTATCACTATTCGTGCCAAGATCTTCCTTCAAGAGCTCTGGGAACTGAAATACGCTTGGGATGAACCGCTACCAAAACCACTGATTGAAAAATGGGTCAAACTTTCCAGAGACCTAGAAGCTGCAACTCAGACCGAAGTTCAACGCAGATACTTTCCGCTGTTATCTTCATGGCCATCAAACGTAGTACTTCACATCTTTGTCGATGAAAGCACCAAAGCTTATGGGACAGTCGCTTATGTCACTTCCAATTCACATACCTCCATGGTTATGTCAAAGTCTCGTGTAGCTCCACTGAAAAAACTAACCCTTCCGCAACTTGAATTGATGGCAGCTGTTACTGGTGCAAGACTTGCTTCATATTTGTCCAATCATCTGACGGTTACCAAAATCGTGTTCTGGTCCGACAGTCAAATCTTTATCTACTGGCTTTCCTCCCAAAAAGAACTGAAGTGCTTTATTCAGAACCGAGTTAAAGAAATTCACCAAGCCACCAACAATGCCACCTGGAACTACTGTCCAATTTCTAACAATCCAGCAGATCTCCTAACGCGAGTAATCTCGACAGACGACCTTTCCAAGTCTAATTTGTGGACGCATGGCCCACCTTGGCTAACCAACCACGACCACTGGCCAGAATGGAAACCTAACAACGTTCTTCTGCAGTCCTGCCTCGACGAAGATCAAGAAACGAGCAAAGTCACTGCCGAAGTCACCGACACATCTACAAACGCCAGCATAACCCAGATTATTCCACCTACCAAATTCAGTGACCTTCAACGACTACTGCGGACTACAGCATGGGTACTTCGCTTCGTTAATACCCTGCAAGAGGGCAACGCATGTAAGGGAAAACCACTAAAGGTCCACGAAGTTGAAAACGCGAGAAATGTTTGGATACGGGAAATCCAAAACGACGCCTACGGTAACGAACTTGCCAACATACAAAAGCCGAAAACCTCTCGTCTACCCCTTGTACGTCAACTTCGCCTGTTTACTCTGGAAGACAACATCATTCGTTGTGGTGGCAGAATTCACAATGCACCAGTGGAACATTCAGCAAAGGTTCCCATACTCTTACTCCCAAACCACCATTTCACCTTGCTGGTTGTCAACGACGCACACGAGAAACTACAACACGCTGGATTAAACCAAACCCTGACACAAATACGCCAGAAGTATTGGATTCCAACAGCTCGCCAGTACATCAAGAAAATACTTCGCAAATGTGTAACGTGTAGAAAGGTCTTCGGAACACCATACAATGCCCCTGACAGATTCTGTACTAAAACCACCAATTCTGTTTTGTGATTGGCGCGGTTTAATCAAAGAATCGCCCCGTTGAACCGGAGCCTTCGCGACATTTCAATTTATTATTTACTGTCGAAGGCTCTGGAATCCAGTGTAGCTCAAAGTTGGAAAAATAGCGCAAAATTTGCACAAAATACAAATTTATGGCATTTTAAATATCTTGTATAACTTCGGCTGGATAGGCAAAAGCAAGGTAACCGTTTAATGATCTATATTTTAGTTTTTTCTAAGCTTTCCAATGATGCATGTTATATTTGCAAAAAATAATTTCAAAATGTCAACATTTTGTCCACAATGGTTTTCTATAGGTAAAAGTAAGAAAAACTTGATTTTCACCATGTTCCACCGAAGGGATTTTTTTTATTTTTAATATGTTAATCAGAACAACTTTTCACACACTTTACAACTGAAAAAATATCTATTGCGATTACTTTGATCAGGACCATGTACTTATGGGCCTTATGGTGATTTGACTGGACTAATATATTGAAAACTCCGTATCACGGAATCAAACTTGTGTCGTGGAATATTTAGCACATATCCAGTAAATTGGAAGAGATTAAATTAACCCCAGGACAGAAGAAATTAATCGATATCCTTTGCATTCAGGAGATTTTCTTGACTAATTTAATTAACCGCGAAGATAGTCATGCAGTTCAGTATTAGTTGAGAATTACAATTTATTTAGAAAAGACAGGAAACTCGGTTTTAGCGGCGGAATTTTAGTATTTGTACATAATCGCTTAGAAGTTAATCACTGCTTAAATTTAGAAGATCCAGATCTAGAACTTATGTGGCTGAATATACAGCAAAGTGGCCATCCATGTAGATTTCTATGCGGTTTCATTTATCGCCTCCGAATACGTTATCATCTACGAACTCTTTAATGACTAGCAATATTGGAAGGGCTATCCATATCCTAAATTCAAAGGAAGTCTTATTAATGGGTGATTTCAGCATAGACCATCAAATCAGTGAAACGTATACATCTCATAGACTAATTCAAAGCCTAAACGACTATGGCCTCCAACAACTAATTTCTGGAATTACTCGGCCAGCATCACAATCGTATTTAGACCACATTTACACCACAGATTCCTCAAAAGTCTTAGCTTCGGGAATTTTAAATTATGGTTCCTAGCTCTGACAATTTATCCGTTTACGCAGTCCATAATCACTTTGTCAAAATAGCATGACCCCACAATGTGATTAAGTACAGAGACTTTAAAAACCTTGATGAAACCAACTTTCGAGAAGACATGCGAAATATATATTTCATTCGCGGATATAAATGCCGACCAAGAAAGCTTATAGTAAATGAATGGGTCGAAAATTGGTATTTACAAGCTAACACTGTAATTAACGAACATATGTACCCTTGCGTCAAAAAAGGGTCAAGCGATTACGACAACCACAATGGTTTACACAAGATCTACTTTTAGCTATTAATCGCCGTAACAAGCTACTGACTGAGTATAAGAAACATAGAAATATTGCATATAATTATAAAATCAGAGCGGCCAAATTACGTATAGGATAATGCCCAAGCTCGAGGTATTATTAAAAATAATGACCGAGCGCGTAGCGCGAGGTCATTATTTTTAATAATACCGAGAGCGAGGGTATTATCCGACTTAATGCACATTATGGTGTTTATGAACAAAGTGAGGGTATTATCCGACTTAATGCACATTATGGTGTTTTTTCACACCATATTTGTGTTTTGTATGCGCATTCCTGGGCTGTGTTTTTTCAACAGCTACCTTTTTATTACTTGATTGATATTTGTGGAGTGAGGATGTCTGGTTCGAGAAAGCGAGATTTTAGTTTGTTTGGAGAAGGATATGACGATGAATTTGAAGTTGAAAAGACCAATGATTGGGATTGCGACTGTCTAGATTTGGAAGACGATGGGCTGGATGGAATACTTTCCCAGTCATTGGATTTGTTTGCAGAGCGGAGAATTTCACTGGAAAGGCCAAATCAGATAGACAGTGTCAGTGAGCGGCGATGTAATGCACCTGGGAAAAGCACGTTGGATAGAAAAGGTGAAAATTGTCTTAGCTAAGTTTTGTTTAAAAGTTAGTAACAAGCATTAATCATAGCGATTAATATTTGAATTTATTTATATTTTGCAATAGAGCAACAGAATACGTCTGACCGGTTTGAGATTTGCAGCAGTGAAAGTATGATAGAGTTGGCTTCGCGAAGCATCCCAGAAAATACTAATAAGGTATCACGTCAGAGAAGGGTGCAACGGCGGAAAGTAGCCCGCCAATAGAGAAGGGTGATGATGGAATGGGGTCGGTTGTTTTAAATATTAGTGGCGGCAATTGCAACATTACAATAGTTAATAAGCCCTAGTTTTTTAAAACTTTATACGTTGTAGTTAAATTAAAATGGAAATTTTTGTAGTGTAATTAAAATTTGCTTTAAAGCAAAGTTGTAACGCACAATGGTTTATTTTTTATTCGAGCGAAAAATCGGGGTCATTATTTTAAATACTGGAGGTCATTATTAAAAATAATAACCTCCTGAATTAAATAATGACGTTGCATTAACTTGCGCATGTCGATTCTTGAAAATAATAACCTGTTCAAAACAATGAAAATGTGCATTAAACTGCACTATCGGCCAATGTAAACAACCCAAAAGTCTACTGGGACCATGCACATGCATGAATAACTTAGTCAAAAGAAAACCATTTCCGCAACAAATTACCCTTCTGAGGCCGGTTGGATAAAAAAGTGATTAAAGTTAACTATAGTTAGTGAAAACGTCATCCAGTAAGAAGCGCGTATTTGAGAGTTAATCACTATTTAACTACAAAATAGTGATTAAAAAAGTGACTAAGAGTTTTATACAACCAGCCCCAGCTGAATAATAAATTAACTTCAGATCCCATGGAAGTAGCTGAAACATTTAATTATGCATTTGTGAATATAGCACCTTAAACAATTCGTAGACAGTAGCAAAACTCATGGTGATGAATTTAATATTCCTTTCATAACGAAAAAATTCGTCGTTGAGACTATTAATCTTATATGTCCGCTACAAAAGCGACGGGCTTAGACCAAATTTCTGTCAGAATTTTGAAAATTTGTGTGAACGAGATTGCAGACTCCCTATTAAATCTACTGATCAACAAAAGTATAGAAACTTCCACCTTTCCTGAATTGTGGAAGATTGCACGTGTCAACCCAATCAGCCTACAAATCTGGGTTAAAAACATCCGAGGAGAATTATCGACCGATCTCAATCCTTCCAATTATTTCCAAAATAAGTGAAAGACACATTCATTTGAATTTAATGTCGTGGTTGCAAAAACATCATCTAGTTTACTGAACAACCAGTCAGCATGATAAACAAAGAATCATTCTTGTGTGACCTAAAAAGCTCAAGATGTTTCAGTGCGGACGACTCAACCTTACTAGCAAACGGAAAAACATTATATAGAGTCGAACAAGACCAACAATATAACACCACACCCATCTCTCAGTGGATTTCTAACAATGACATGGCTTTAAACGTTACAAAAAACTGAAATAATGGTTGTAGCAACCAAACAAAAGTTAGCACGATTACAAGGTGAAAGAATTCAAGTTAACATCAACGGTAAAACGATTAAAACTATGGATGAACATAAGCTCCTTGGACTCGTATTAGACGGGAGCCTAGACTGGAACTTACATACAGACATGATTTGTAAAAGAGGATCCAAACGCATAGCTTTATTGAAATCTATTAAGTGCTATCTCCCACTGAAATCCAGACAATCCTTTTACAAACTTTGATTCAACCGCATGGCAGGCGGTACGTAGGAAATACCGCCTGCCGCAAAACTGGGTGTAAATGAACTACCGCCCCTGAAGCACCAACGCTATTTATAGATGCATTAATTAAGTAAATATTCAAAATTAGCCACTCCCAAGCTGCTCCCAAGTCCCAACTGCCCAACATAAAATAAATTCCTTGATTCTCATCACCGCCCGACTGAATTTTAAAATCCTCGTGAAAACGTTTTATTTTTCGTTATACAATATAAATGTACCGCCCGACAAAATAATTCAAGACAGTTAATTTTTTCATATTTTATATAGAGTTTTTATTGCCATTTTAAACTTCCAATTTGAAACAAACAGAATTTTGAGTGAAATTTCATTGTATTTTAAAGAAACTCAGTCATTCTGTCATTGTTTGTGGAGATACGAACTATTGATATATAAATTATATAAATATAAAATATAAAAAATAAATCTCCCACTGTCTTCGACATTTCAAAGTGTAGACTGTTTCTAGTGATGATAATAAAGGAATTTATTTTATGTGTTAATATAAACCAAGCCCGTTTAGCCGTTTAGCTGCCTTAAAACGGTGGTTTAATAAGCTCAAAATACAAAGCATGCAAGTCTATACTATAGATCATCATCAGTCAACAACCAAACTGAAAGTATTGAACCTTATAGAACGATAGTTTTTATTTGTTTACAACTACACATATTCAACGGGTATATAAGAGTTTAACTGTTATTTGATAATTACTGCATCAACCGGCCCCTTGTTTATACTTTGGAGGTTCGTATATATTAATATCTATCAAGTATCTTTGGTTCAGAACATGACTGATAGGCCTATATGGAAATCCCACTGTTCGATTCAGTGAAGAAATATCTCCTAATTTCTATCGATAGTTTTAGTAAAATGTCAACATTATTGCGATTTATGGCCTTTGAAAGTCAAGCGAGATAGTATATTATCAAATCAATACGCATGTAATTGTCTGAACGAAAATATAGACTAACCCATACCTTTCGCCGATCATAACTTCGGCCCCTTCGGACGTATCTTCTTTGTTAAATATTCTTGTTCGAATCTCTATCAATAACACTATTTAGAGTGTTATTTTTCAGCTTGTATCTTTTAATTTGCTTCTTTTATTATGTTATTCCATTTCTGGTCTGACTTGACGTGAACTAATTTCAAAACGCAGAGTTTCAAAACGTCAAAACATTTGGTTAATGATTAACATTTAACCGAATTTAGGCGTTGATTGACAACGAGTTTGGGTAATGGTCGAGTGTCGAGGGTCGAGGGTCATAGGTCGAGGGTCGAGGGTCATAGGTCGAGGGTCAAAAGTCGAGGTCGAGGGTCAAAAGTCGAGGTCGAGGGTCAAAAGTCGAGGGTCGAAAGTCGAAAATACTAAATTTTTATCCATTTTAAAAGTTTTACAACCATTAAACGCGGCAAAACAATTAGTTTTGCTGTCAAGACTGAAAAATTTCGCCTATGGCTATGCCGTATGGCTATGTACTGTACAACTGGAAGTTTCGCTTGTGGAACTAAAAGTCTGATTCGAGGTTTGATGTTTGAAAGCATACATCTTTTATTTTACATTGGAGTTTAAAATATACAAACACGGACGATTATACAAAAATGGCGTTTCACTCTCATGAGAAATTTGATTATAGGTATAAATATGTTATCTCTTAGAGGCGAAAGAGTTCTGAAATTCTCAGAACTTCAACTTAACGATACTCCTCATACCACGTATGGTTTTGGAGGTTTAAAGCGTTAGGGTGTGCGAGAAACAGTTGATTTTTATATATTTTATAACATCATGTCTGCACCGGAAGTGCACATGTTCGATTGACAGTTTCATATTCATAATATAGTTGCGAGAACGTTGTAGTGTAATAAAATGGAAACTTTCTTTAGTTATTTTGTCAAAAATAACATGCACGAATCTTTATAACAGAGTGATTTTAGTCTGGTTCAGAATTTACGACCATTGTGAGAGATTTTTGCTGCGCTGGGACTCGATTCGTTCTGATAGTACAATAAATACAATATACTTTCGAATCACCCCACCGGCACCGTACGTTCTCGAATAGTTTTAGTAATTTTACACTTTCTCGAAAAACAAAAAGGAACCTAATTATGCCCTAAGGCATGTTCTGTACTAACAGTAATGAAGTTAGTTATCCGCAGGAGAACCTTTAAAATTTTGACAACAAATGCCAAAAATGTAGTATTCTAAAAATGTATTAATAAAAAATTAATATTTCCCATTTTCGACCCTTGAATTTCGACCCTCGACTTTTGACCCTCGACCTCGACTTTTGACCCTCGACCTCGACTTTTGAACCTCGACCTATGACCCTCGACCCTCGACTTATGACCCTCGACCCTCGACATATGACCCTCGACCCTCGACACTCGACCATTACCCAAACTCATTGACAACTACATAAAAATACTAACCAATCCGTTTTTCCCGTTCACCAGCGGACGGGTAATTCAAAAACCCCTAGTTTTGCGGCAGACGGTATTTCCTTTGCTTCCCTAATTTTCGCTGCCCGTAGAAATACCGCCTGCCATGCAGGCTACCGTTGCAGTAGATTATGCGTGTGTTGTCTGGGGCAACACTAGTAAATCTAATATTAATCTAATAATCAGACTACATAAATATGCTGCGAGAGTAAACTTGGATAGAAATATTTGACAAACTCAAGTGGATGACATTCCCCCAAAGAACTGACTATTTTACTTTAATTCAGATGTACAAAATAGTTAACAATATGGGTCCTAAATAGGCTACCTTATTGATAGATTCGTTTACACTCGTGATATGCATGAGGTGAATACTAGAAATGCAGCTGATAGCAAACTAAGAATACCCAAACTGTCAACTTCAACAGGACAAAAATATTTTAGCTATCGAGGCGTAAAGATTTAGAACAACTTAAATACTTAACTACTGGTTTCAAAGACTTAACTTTAAGTACTTTTAAGAAATCAGTAACTGAATCACATCTCTAACGTATTTTTACTTTGTATAGTGTAAATATGTATACGCTTAACTATCTTGTATACTGAGGGCGACCCTCATTAACCTTTTAGTGTTCGATTGGTGTTCACCCTCAATAAATATTGTTATGCATTCATTCATTCATTCATTCATTCATTCATTCATTGGTTACAACGCGCGGAACGGATGACTATTTAACTAGAATATATGCTTTATTTTGCAAATAAGATTTGTGTTAGAAATAGTTATTACCACCTTTATCCTTGTTTAACGAAAACGATTTAAATTGTCGCGTTTTTTACCATTGAGTAATGATAAATTATTGTTAATAATTTATTTCTTTCTTTGTGTATTTTTCCTTCTTTTATTTCAAATACAAGTATAGTTAGCATAAATTTTAGAGAAATTTGGATGCTCCGGACACAGAAAATGGCATTTCCGGGGTTCAAAGTTTCAAATATATTTTGGGGGAGTATGCCCCCACACACGCGGAATTCGGCCATTGCTATCCTCGTCGAATAAGTATTGATAAATTATGGTTACTATTTCTTTACTTTTTGTGCGATTTTTCCTTCTTTTATTTCAAATACAAATATAGTCAGCATACATTTTAGAGTAAATTTGGATGCTTAGAATGCAGGATATTGCATTTCCAGGCTTCAAACTTCAAAAAGTTCCCCCCAGACCCCCCTAGGGATTCATGTGTAGTATGTCGGCCACATGGCTATCCCCCACCAAAAAATTATCTCACAGAAAGGTCCCTTTTCAAAAAAAGGCCTGATAAAATCTCGAACAAAGTTGTATATGTGTATAGTGTAAACAAAACGGTCGTGCAAACTAATATTGTGCCTCCCCCTCCCCCCAAACAAGATTAGGCCGGTACGCCCATGAGCTCCCCACAAAAAAAAACACAAGAAACATCAAGAAAATCACAAGAACCTAGCAATCTACAAGAACCATGAGAAGAAGAAGAGTCGCGAGGAGCAAAGACCCATAAGAACTGAAAAAACCAGAAGAAGAAAGAAAACCACAAGAATTAAGAGACCTAGAACCAAAACAACTAACAAAACCAGAATAGCAAAAAACAGAAGAACTAAGAGAACTAGAAATCCAAGAGAAGAAAAAGAACCAATTAGAGAACCATAAGAACAGAAAGAACTAGGTGATCTTGTCTCAGGTTATTGTCTGAAGAGATACTTTCACGTTTAAAGACTTTAAAAGTAAAGGCTATCCGAACGACTATATTAACACCAACTATTTTCATTTTAACTTTAATTTTAACGTTAAAGTTTTATTATAAACCTAACCGTGCGCAAAAACCGATGTTAATAAAACAGTTTTTTGCACGATATACCAATATTGGTTTAACATTCATCGCTTTTGATTATGAATTATTAATTTGTTCGCTCAAATCTAGATTTTCAATTTTCTGTAGCAAACCGTCGTTATTAATTTCATTGTCTCCAAAAATACTATTTATCTTAGTTAATAACTTAACCGGCGTTACTTGTTAGACGTGTAAACATTATTTCATACTCAAAACATTTATTTTGAATTTCCTTTTCCATCTTTTACTGAAAAAATGGACAAAAGTTTCGAAACTATTTGCGGCTTAAACGAATATGTAACGAAATTTGTTATTACTTTGTTTTGTTTTTGTTTAACAACGGCAATAAAACGAAAGGCAATTAATAACTGATTGCTGATTCTTTAACTCAGTGATTGTCGCTCGAAAACAAAACTACGATATCTTTTTAATTAAACAGCTGCGGATTAAGAGGGGAGAGATACAGCTACTTGGAAATCATATAAGAAGAATTATAATGTTTGGAGAGAATGCGCCTCTGAACTACATTAGTGCTGCATGGCATCGATCGTTCGAGATTATATTTTTAATTAAGGGACGTCCTCTAATAAATCAAGTAGTCAGGTTTTATTAAAATCTATAATGTGGAAAAATGCGAATTGGCAATAAATTTAAATGTATACTATCAAACTTGCGTGAGGTTGAATTTTACAACAAACTGTCGAAGCTATGTGTGAGGGAAAACTCAATTTATTATATAGATCTGAATTTTTGGAATGGATTCACTGGTGTGAAAAATTATTTCGAGAATTTTTCTAAGCAAGTGCTAGGCAATTGGAAAGGCGAAACGATATTACCACACGTGCGAAAAACGTTACAGCCGATCAGAGTGAGCCTATGGTTTTGTACGAGCAAATTCTGAAGAACGGGAAGGAGATTCCGAATTGTTATTTTGAATTTGTTGTCGTTGTTTATAAGTTTACTAAAGTTTGATTTGCAAGTTTGACAATGTCCAGTGGTGGTGAAAGATTCTTACAAATTAACGCTTGTGAAAATACTATACGTCAGCACTTTCATTAAGAAATCCCTATAACTGAAACAGTTTGAAAGAAGCGAGTCAGAGACTTCGAAATTTCGAAAGAAACACTACAGTGTTTTTAATACCCAAACCACAACAGACGTTCAGTCTCTTAGGCCCCAATAACGATACCGGAAGTAACGGACAGTAATATAGGAAACTTGACAGGCGTTTTTGAAGAAATTTTTATTAAAAAATTGCAACTGTAATTTATAGGCAGACGATATGTACATACGAACTATATTAATTAAGGGTGCATGGCCTTTGACTATTTCTAAAAATGTATTACTTGCGTGTTTTCCAGTATAAGCAATATTTAATACAAGGTATTGGTATTCCTGTTTATAATTAGAAGCCTTTTTCACGAGACTCGTCGAATTGAATGCTGGAATTGAAAAGAATGAAAATGGTCGAACATATCTTTCACTTCTTTCCAAAGGCATGGTAAGTATTAGAGAGTTTAAGTTCGACTTCCAATACCAATACCGATCCCAACAAAATGTCATGCGCATGCACTCTGCTCACAAAAAGCACAAAGACAAGTGTATTGGAAGTCACCACTATCGAAGTCTGTCTTGTATTGGAAGTCGTGGGAATTGTAAGATAAACTCAAATAAATCGGATATTTCATAATTTTCACGATAAACACGTAAACTATTGTTTATTAGCATCGCCTGAGTCATATTTTAGTCGGGAATTTTAGCTCAGCTGCCGCACATTTTCGACGACGATTAATGTCTCTATACTTTATCGGTCGTGATAATTTAACGCTTTAAAATTCCCGGTACCAAAATGAGAACGGAAGTGAAGACATCGGTATCGGTATTGGTATCGGAAGTCGAACTTAAATTCTCTATTATCCCCGAGCCGACGGCGCAAAGCGCCGTGCCAGGGTACTAATTCCCCCGGCTATTTACATCTGGGGAAATGAAAGCATTAGCGAAGTCTAAAGTTCATCAATAATTGTGGGCGCTCACCAACGGTGTTGAGTGGGTGGTCATCATTGATCTCAAAATATGGCTGTTTGCCAGGAGTGAAAACAGCAAAAAATATAAAAAAATACATGTAAGAAAGCTTGGAAAATCGTTTCACAGAACAAATTGTACAACTTATTTTTTTGCAATTTTTAAACGTAAACATAGATAAAAATTGATATTGCATGTATGATAAATCCTAAAGTATAGGGCAAATTTGTTTCAATTGTCTATGCATGACTTTGTATTTAATAATATAGACTCTGTTCTTGATGTTCAAGTCTTGCCTATGCATTGTTTGCGAAAGTTTCTTAGTTAAATGAACTTTTGTAGAAGTTCATGATAAAAAGAAAAGTAAATTATTTTCATTAGCGTCCTGTACGAATTAAATTTGTTTCATTTCAAAGTGCGAGTAATAAGTTGAAGCTCGAGTTGAGAAGTTTATAAATATCGGCAAAAATCTGATAAATATTTTAATTCACATTAAAAAACGTTTTACGTAGAGTTTCTTTTTGAACTTTACATTAAAATAAAGCCCATAGAAACAAAAATATTATACCTACTTCATATATTTTAGAAAGTGATAGCTCTGTATTTAAAAGTGTTCAAATTTCATCTATTTTTTTCTCGGTAAAAAACAATTATCGTGTTGCCATGACTAACATGACGTGGCAACGCGACCCTGCGTTCAGTGTTGGCGTAGTTACGAATACTTCATGTTGAAACAATGTTTGGAAAATATAGGCGAGGGGTTGTTGCATGCATGTATTTCTAGTATTTATGTAATCAGGAGTTCACATATCATGATTGTGTAATTTAACGACCGAAAAATCTTTAAACCTAGGCCTTCAAGTCCGTCATATTTTGGAATAAATCAGAATGTAACACACACTTACTGCGTTTTTTGTGGAATAAGAGCCACAAACTTTGTCTGTACGATGAAACATCTTCGTCTCTCGCGTTTTAAATGCGAACTTTTTGGTTCAGCAAAAGACAAAACCCATTTTCCTGTCATCCAAAACTGAAAACCGCAATAAATATCGATCGAAACGGCCCTAACGAGATTAATAGCGAGTTGTTGGTTAGGTTTGTTACGTTTTTCTCTCAAATACCGTCTATAGGCCTAATTCTACGACGAGCGAAATGCGAAAAATTTCGCGCGAAAACACACTTGTGCGAAAATTTTCTCTCGTAGTGATTTCCACAGTAGTGTAAAAATTCGCCAAAACACAAGGATTTGATTGGTTTCGCTATTTTGTCATCCAAAACACAAGCATTTGATTGGCTTCGCTATTTCTGTTTCGCAACAGAATAAAAACGCGTTCAACCTTTTCGCGATCGTCTTGGAATTAGGCCTTTAAACTTCTAGCCTTTTCGAAAATTTCCCGAAGGCCAGCACAGTTTTAGCACTCAGCCGGTTAAGTCGCATATTTGAGGTCGTAGTTACCGAAATGAGGAACCAGAAACTAAATTTGGAAAACTCAATCTGAAAAACTGCTAGTATATTCGCAAAACCGAAAACCAAAAGGAAAATGACGGGAAGATCTAGAAAATCATTTCACAAATGGCAATGTCTAATGATCATGTATGTCTTGTCTAAATACCCATATACTGTATTGCTGCAGGCTGTATACTGACTAAAACCTCCAACTTGCATGCCCTTGTGCATGCGTTGGATATTGAGTGCACCGATTTGATTTTTCATATTCATCAAGAACAAGCTGCATCTTAGCTTTTGAATCACTCCCGTTTCGTATCATCGCAAGCAAATTAAAATTGATAGAAACGAGTCGATTAAAAATTGCCGGTCCAAATCACATTTTCAAGTGACGATATTCGTCAACAGATGTTTACTATATCCCAAATATCTTGGGGCTTTTTAAGGTGGCTCCATACACTTTTAATCATCGGGAGACTAGTACCTAATCTTGAGTTTTCGCGAAAAATGTTAAAAATATATTAAAAAATAAATGACAACTTTTTCAGTATAAAATCCGAACCATGTTTATTTTGATGTTTTGAGTCTTCATTGTTCTCATTTGTTCGCAAAGAACAAACTTCGTCCGGATTTAGCCCTGCTGAACATTGAATAACTAGTCTTTTTAGAAGACATTTTGAGGTACAAAATGCAATGTTCAATGTTCAAACTCTTGTGAAACCCGCCGATCGGCCCGACCGACGAAAAGTTTTTTACTCCAATATTTGGCGATTTATAAGTTCATATCCAGAGTTTTCTGTACTTACAACTGGTAAATGTATTCAAAGTGTTACTAACAGCAAAGGAATTCAGTGAAACAGCATCATGCGCCGGCTCAAATTGTTTTAAATTGTCAACAACAACAACAACATGAAAACACACAAGTTACGACTGAAAACGAATATAAAACTATGTAGAGAAGCCAAAAAGCACATATCTTATACCAAACGACCGACAATCACCTGTTTTCTTGGCGTTATCCCGAGTTAGCATGCAAAACTAAATATATTTGCATTTCTAAGCAATAAAACACAACACATATTTGATATTTCGACGAGACTAAAAACTTTTTTGTGCGTGTTTTTCTGGAGGTGCGCCTGTGAAGACATGTACGCGCGTGTCAATTCATTGATCTTGCAGAGCTCGAAAAACTTTCGGCCGAGCTAGTGAGATACCACAATAAAACGACGTAATTCAAAATTTTGCACGTTGACATGTGATGAAATTTTGCACAACGATAACTTCTTTTAAAACAAATAGTATATCAAAATTTAAAAAAAAATCTGTAGATTGGAAAACTCTAAATCCGCAACTTTTTATTCTGGCTATTCTAATCTACAGAATTTTTTATTTTGAGGGATAAGATTCCGCATTAACGGCATTATAAGTGAAGGCTATACAGCAGTTAAAAAGGGGTGTCACTGGCAATATTCGGAAAATAAAGAATAAAAACCTGCTTAAAATAGCAAAAAATACCATATTTGGCGAGACTACTGTTACCATGTAAACAATATTATGTTCAAGAATATTGTAAATTTGTTCTACCAAATACTTAATTTATACTCGGAAATGCTTAAAATTAATAGATGACGTGATAAAAATTAATAAATTGAAATTGTTACGCAGTAAGGTATTTGTACTACGGAACTGTATGGAGCCACCTTACATTGAAATTGATTTATCAGTTTTAGATCCATATGGGATATATTTTTAATAGTTTTGTATCCTAATTCCAAACCGTGGAAAATGCTATTTTCACCAACAACATTTATTATTCCATTCCGGCGTATTTGGAACATTATAAGTTACGTAACCCATTGAGTTGCATTGCACCCTGATGAGTGCAAGTATTTAGTATTTTGCTCAGTCTAATGCCGGACTATTTTACACGTCAAGCCGGATGGCGCAGGTGTTCAATGGGTTAAGAGGGCTTTATTTTGGACGGAAATATAACTTGGGCGTACCGTTATGCAGGCAGGAGGGTATTATTAAGTTCGTCCTCATGTGATTTCATAAACATTTTGCTGTAGGTTGTATACAGGTCTGTGGACGACTTTTTCTGTTTTTGGATATCTTGTCCTGGTTCAAGCTCAGTACATGATAGACAAGACGAAAGCCTTGGATGACAAAATCCTTCTTGGATATGCATTTCGTAAGCTCACGATGAAAACTGTGGATGAATGTTTCTTTCATTGCTGCGAAGATTGTTTCTGTATGGCATTTCAAATGTGTCAGAGTACAGAATATCAACTGTTGTCGACCAATCAATTTCAATCTTCATCAGCACTGGTTACCATGAAGGGATGTTCCTATTACGACATGCTTCCTGATTTTGAGCAGGTAAAGAAATTTACTGCAGTAGGTGGGCTATGGAATTTTCGAACGTAAATTTCACTTTTAGGCCTATCCAGGAGCACTCGCGAAAACTTCAGCTACAGGTCCTCTGGTGGGAATCGTACCTGTGCCACTCCGATTCATGTGCAGCGTTCCAACCAAGCCTTGAAGCCTCCACTACTCTTTCGATAATTTAGTGTGATATTTCGGAACAGGATCTAGTTCCTTCGATACGCTTAGTTGGCAGAGCATTGGGTTAGTATTCCAAAGGTCGTAGGTTCGATTCCCACCGTGGCCAGGCATATTTTCAAGCTTGTCCGGTGTGGATATACACTCATAGTAACATCACAAACATCATATTCATCTGACTGATCTGAGTACATAACATTAACAACACAGAAAAATAATAATACTAGATTGCGTTGATATCGAAGGAACTAGACTCAGTTCCGAAATATCACATACTCGAACCGGCAGAGCATTGGGCTGGTATTCGAAAGGTCGTAGGCTCGATTTCCATCATGTTCAGGCATATTTTTCAAGCTTTCTGGTGTGGATACACACTCAGAGTAACATCACAAAAATCATATTCACCTGAGTACATAACATTCACAACACAGAAAAAAAGCTACAGTTATATTATAAAAGAAATTCACGATTTGGAGCCGTGTGTTTGGACTATTATTAATTGATGAAAAACAAAAAGTATCTTTCTGATGCATGTAAAACCACATCTAAAGGGTTTGATCTCTTTCAGAGAAGATACACAACTGCCGTTGCTATGGCAACAATAGAGAGTTTGGCAACCTAGAACGGCAACAACAACGGCGAAAATATAATTGCTTATACGTATATTGCGTACTTATAGAAACGTTAAAAATGTTCTCTTTCCCCATATTATAATTTGAAAAGTTCTTACTTGGTAGTAATTGGTAAAGCTTATGACTTTCGTCATTTGAAATGTCATTAAACAGTTTAGTAGTTAGAATTTGTCTTCTATTAAATAATGAGTCAACTCTCGCTTCTACCAAAGTTTCTGCATATAAGGTAACGTTGGGAAGATGATATGAAGGGCTCGCTTCTGTAACTTCTCCAGATCTTCGCATAGGTAATTGGGTAAGGAGTCGTGGAAAATGGGACAAGCATATTCCATCACAGGACACACACAGGTCAGGTAAAATGTTAGTAAATCCTTTGTACAGATATTTGTTCTTTTTAGTTGACAAAGAAAGAAGAGTCTTGTTGAAACTTTCTTCACAATCTCTGAGATGTGGGTGAATCATTTAAGATCGTTCGCAACTCGTATGCCCAATATTTTTGCAGAAGGGACAACTTCGTTCGGCCTGTTATTAACATACACGGGTGTAAACGTACGCCCAGGTCTTGCAAAGGTAATTTGAAGCTCTTTGCATTTCTCTTCGTTTAACTGAAATTTATTTGCAGTTGATTTCCTTGCAAATTCGTCTACCGGCGATTGGGTGCTACTGGCTTCATGTTTAAGGACAGTCTCAGAGATTGTAGTATCGTCCACATACTTCCATAAATCTATATCCGCTACTTCTACGTCATTTATCATTATAGCAAAAAGCCAAGGACCCAATTTAGTCCCTTGGGGCACGCCTGCCTGAATCAAACCCCATTCAGAATAACAATCTTGGCTTAACTTGACGCGCTGTTTACGGTCTTTGAGAAAATTAACGATCCACCTAATGATTCGCTTTGGTATTTCGAAAGTAGTAAGCTTGTCTACGAGAATACCATGATCAATTAAGTCAAAGGCTTTTTTGAAATCAAAAAGAACGACCCGCACCATAGAACCGCTTCCGTCAGTTTGTTTTTTCCAATTATGTATCATGCTTATTAGTGCACGAGTCGTTGATGATTTGGGAATCGTTCCAAATTGACTTCTGTCAATCTTTCTAAGGACAGCAGGTTTAACAAAATTTTCGACAACGAAATCCACCGCCACCTTTGATACAACAGATGTCAATGAAATGGGGCGTAGGTGCTTATTCACGTGTCTTACAGGTTTCTGTTTTGGAAGAGGGACAATATCCGCTTCTTTTCAAGACTGCGGAAGATAGCTATCTCTATACGAAACGATTCAAAATCTCTTACAGGATCGGCCAGTAGATCAGCATTTTCCTCCAGAACCCAGCTGGGTATCCCATCTGGACCATTGGCCTTGGCTGGATTCAAAAACCTCCTGCTCTGTAACCGTAAAACCAGGTTCATCGCTGCCGAAATCAGTACAAGCGAAAAATTCACTCGCTAAAGGGGAGAAGTTATTCATGGGAGAAAGAAAAATTTCATTGATAATATTGGCAAGATGTTTGGTACTAGTAGATATCCATACAATCCTATATTTCAAGTTGTTTGGCCATCGTTCTCGCGTACTGCCAATTTCGTATCCTCTGTAGGTAAACTCTTTATTTAATAAATCACTGAGTGAATTTTTGACTGAGAGAATTAGTCAAATGTGATGAAAGCCAACGATAAAGCAAATATGGAAGGATTGAGCTTTTAGTCGTGAAAAAATATGGCGTTATGGAAGACAGTCTCATGGCCATCAATGTCGTTTCATTTGTCGTTTACATAATGGATAACGTGCTTATCTTAATAAACACATTTTCTTAGTGTCCTCTGCGCATCCAAATTACGCATTCTGCGTCGGGAAACGCTGCATGCTGAATCATATACATGTAGCTGAGACTGAACGCATTAAAATGTACATGTTAAAGTATTCAGCTGTTCAATCATTACTTGCATGTATTTTACAAAGCCACAATAGAGCTATCCAATCAATAGTTTCTGTGCTGCGCATTTTTCTTTTGTTTAAAACAAAATAAAAAAGGTAATTTCTGTGTAACAATCCTTTCAATCCTCAGTTTTGTCTCCCTGTCGAGGTAAATATTTCGAATGCCATCAACTAAATGAATGTTTGTTAATTAAAATATATTTGACAAAAGTCAGGTTGAGAGAGATTGCCATAATTTAGATAGGCACATAACGTTAACTACACTACATTGTCCTATAATGTATCCATTATTATATAGTTATAATAAACTGTACATTACATATAATTACAGGTATATGTATTCTACACTAGCTAGTCATGAATAGTGAGTCATAGCTCTACATCAAAAACAATTAGCCATATAATTCTCTGATTCTATACATTATTTTCTGTGTGCGAATACACGCGATTGTATGATCTTAACCACTGTATAAAATGTAACATAAGTAATAAAGGATAAATATATTTCGTTGACTTTATCTCGTATCTATAATAACTCCTCGTCCTCGGTGAAGTCCATGTTAAGCCCGTTCTCCACTAGGCGAATTTATTCGCGCGAACAGATAAAAAGTAGGAAGCCATCCTACTTTTTCGCAGCGAATTTTTTCGCCAACCAATCACGTTGCCGGATTTCGGTTTTCGCTTCGCGTCGCGCGAACAAATTCGCGTACTGGAGAACGGGCTTTAAACGAGGCAATTTTGCTGCAATATGGAAGTCGGATTCACTCGAATTAATTCATATCCATTCTTTCTTCACCATTATCCAAATTATAGTTTGGGTTCATATCCATTCGTTCTTCATCAGTATCCAAATTACAGTTTGGAAAGAAATGGTCAACAACATTATACCGTCTTCTCAGGTCTTCATAAATTGCATTGAACTGGACACCAAACTCCATCAAGGAACATTTCCCCCCCTCAACGTTTAGTGTATATCCCTGTGTGTGCATCGCAACGATGTTTCCATTCAGATCAAAAACAGGTGAACCACTAGCACCAGAAAATAGACCTGTGTCGTACGGAAGACATCTTGCATATTTTTCGGTCGTCTCCGCTATTTTTAATCTAGTCATGTGCACACCAACACAAAGTTCATGTCTCTGCTGCAGTTTCCCATGCCACGAGGGATTGCTAACAACAACGCATGTTTCGTCATGCATTACATCACCGCCTGGATAACCCACGATAATAATTCGACCTTCGTGCAGTGAACGGTTTCGAACAATCGGACCAAGAGGAACACGATTCCTCAGACTTTCACTTTCTTTCAAACGTAAAAATTTATAATCCAAGTGTGAGTTCTCAAGCTGGGGATCCTTTTCTTCATCAATCTCAACTGTGACAACATGTTCTCTTCGTTCTGAGCACAAGTAATCAAATAAAACTGTGATGGGCAAGTTGGGATCTTGCTTTTCAACCCTTTCCGCGTTGATCATCGTAAAAACGTGATGGTTGGTTATCACCAGCATGTCTGTCACCAAGAAACATGTCCCTCGAATTTCTCCACATGCAATTTGCCCAACGGAATCCATGCAAGTAGCTAAAAGCTTATTCACCCTCGCTGGCTTTTTAGTTGAAGCATGTTTAAATATCTCATCTTTTGCAAAGTTGAAAATTTGTTGATCGCCATTTACAAATTGGCCATCATTTTTGGTAAACTTATTAATCTTCAGATTCAGCAGGCTCTTGTAAGCTGACGTTTTAACATTTGTTGTCATGGATTTGCGAACGTTTTTGGTTAAAGGTTCCTTACTTGATACCGGATGAGTATACACGTACAAAGCTGGAAATTCCTTGATGTATTTTTCAAGACGAAGAAAACCTTCATTCGGCAATGTTTCTGTTCTACTTGGCTCGCAGGCCTTCGTAACCACCGACTCAACCCACTCCGCTAAAAAATAAAATTTATAAAAATTTAACCCCTAAAAATACAAATATTTTATTCCTCAAGGTGAATAACAGTTGTAACATTTCATTGTTAGGCCACGAGTTTTCAGATTCGTGATAGCAGTTGGGCTCAAACTGGTAACTGTTGTATAGAATTCGCTAGCGATAAAATTAATAAACAAATTCTTGAGGCTAGCCGTAGCAGCTTGCAATACTTTAAGGCCGGTAGAAAAGCGATCAAATAAATAGATATATAAAATTTTACCTGCAGTGGGCTCGGATTCTTGAATGGTTAGAAAATCCTCAGAATCAGTTTTCCCTTCTGCTACATCTGAATCTTTGAATTTGAAAGAAAAAACCCTTACTATCATATACTGTATAAAAACATGTACATTATATAGTATTATTACTAGGATTCTAAATCGCATTCTAAGTAACAGATGACATGACGTTATAATGGGCCTTTCACCTTTTAGGACTTAGGGCCGCAATGCATGCTGGTAGTTGGGTATGTGTTTGCTTCGAAGTGAAATGGCGGCCGTGAGGTGTCCATTTTGCTTGGAAGATGAATTTACTGGTTTTAACGACGTTTTCTTTCGCGAGATGAAAACTTAATCATGCTTTTAGGACAGGGCACTCTCTGTCTACATTTTGTAGAAACGGTGAGGAAATCGGAGTCGCCGTTGTGAAGAAAAACGAATTTAAAGCGGCCAAAGGGATGAGCGCTATTCGAAGAAAATATGCTTCGAATCTTGTGTTTCTTTTAGTCAAGAGGTGAGTAGCCGTATTGAATAACTGTAAGTAAAATCTTTTGCCTTGCAGCTGTAGATCTGTAGTTTACCTGTCCTGATCGCTTATTAGTTGTATTTATAAGCGTTTCTGCATCGTCTTTTTGTTTGTTGAAATTGACACATTGCGATGAAAATTTTATCTGCTGCTCTTTAAAACATGGCCTCTGTTTTGGCGCGAAAATGTACTAGCTTCTTGCGCTAAAGTGTAGATATTTTTCAAAAACTGCATTCAGAAAGTACTGTCACTTGATATTACTGCTGTTTACTTTGGTTTTGCATTCCTTTTGGGTCTGTTTTGGTCCCTGTCTTCGCGTAACAAGTAGGTTGTAGGTTGTAAATATTAATAATAGCACTAAAATATATATATTTTTAAGAAAATAATAATTGTCTTAGTCCGTATTGTCCGTATATCGATAAAGTAGTATAAAGTTCACAATAATTTTATTGTTGAACAAAATTTAAAATTTAGTTAGCTGTTTAAATTCAAAAATTAGTTAAGCATTTAAAGCCACTTTATAGAGTCTTTATAGTAATTTCATTTTAAACCTAGTCTAATATTTCTGGCTCAAATTTTTAGTTAATAAATTTGTAAATAAGTGAAATAGTATAATTGTATATAAATTTTTAAATAAAATAAACTAGAGAGTATAAAATGGAAGACATACCTTGCTCGTCAAAGGATGCAGACCAAGCAACACAGTATGCTCATGCAGAAAAGAGATGGACAAAAGATTTGAGGTCGCTGCCACCATTTACACCATTTACAGGTAGAAAATGTTGCTGACTGACTCCGGCAGGAAGATGGCATCTCGATTAAAAGCTCAGTGCAGTCAATGATCACCCTCGTTTGTGGAAAACTTTGCTTAAAACAAGCTGGCATATGGTCATCAATGAACTTTCGGGTGGGCCAAATGGGAAGAGTACGGAGTTGCTTGTCAAGAAAGGTTATCCATGTTATCCAAATTCGTGAGCAATGCTGAAATGACATGCCATATCGGTGTGCCAAATCTTGCAAGAGGAAGCCGCAGCGCATTCTAGCTAGCACCATAAATAATTCTTGCTCTGGAGATGTTGACCTTTGTCTACCATGCTTCTTCTGGTTTGCTGAGCTTATAACACCTGTTGTAGATCCATAGTAGATAAGATTATTACATGCTGGTGAGAGGTAATTGAAGAACACTTTAAATGTAGCATAATCAGGGAATCCAGTATAAAACCTAAAGTCACTTGCACTACCAATAAATCTTTCCAATCGAAATAAACATTTTCCTGCTGCTTTCACATCATCTTCATATTTCTTTTCCAGAGAATTGTATTTTGATTGAAGAGCTTCAAGTTTGGCAGCATCAGTATCTTCCACTGGGTCTTCTGTCGGCTCATTGTCATATATTATTGTTCCAGGGACTGTGTTCACTTCCATGACTGATGTGGTAACCTCCATGTTTGATGTGGTAACTTCCATGTCTGATGTGGTAACCTCCATGTTTGATGTGGTAACCTCCATGTCTGATGTGGTAACCTCCATGTTTGGTGTGATAACCTCCATGTCTGATGTGGTAACCTCCAAAACAATCTGCTGTCTGTTTGGCTTCTTTCTTGGTGTGCGAGTGATTTTAGGAACAAATATTGTGGGTACATTGGTTGTGTATGTTTTCTTTCCCCCAGAGAAGTGAACAGAACAAACTCTATAATGTGGGCCGATATTAAGAAGACCTTTTGTTTGCAAAAGTTTTTCCCATTTCTTCTTCAGTGTAGAGTCTTTCGGTATCTTGTAAAATGACAGTTCGGGGTTTCTTAAGTTGTTATTGGTGCACTGGGGGACGCAGCAGTTTTTTCCTCCATATAACTGTTTACCATGTTGTTCTCTTTTCTGCATGAGCATACTGTGTTGCTTGGTCTGCATCCTTTGACGAGCAAGGTATGTCTTCCATTTTATACTCTCTAGTTTATTTTATTTAAAAATTTATATACAATTATACTATTTCACTTATTTACAAATTTATTAACTAAAAATTTGAGCCAGAAATATTAGACTAGGTTTAAAATGAAATTACTATAAAGACTCTATAAAGTGGCTTTAAATGCTTAACTAATTTTTAAATTTAAACAGCTAACTAAATTTTAAATTTTGTTCAACAATAAAATTATTGTGAACTTTATACTACTTTATCGATATACGGACAATACGGACTAAGACAATTATTATTTTCTTAAAAATATATATATTTTAGTGCTATTATTAATATTTACAACCTACAACCTACTTGTTACGCGAAGACAGGGACCAAAACAGACCCAAAAGGAATGCAAAACCAAAGTAAACAGCAGTAATATCAAGTGACAGTACTTTCTGAATGCAGTTTTTGAAAAATATCTACACTTTAGCGCAAGAAGCTAGTACATTTTCGCGCCAAAACAGAGGCCATGTTTTAAAGAGCAGCAGATAAAATTTTCATTGCAATGTGTCAATTTCAACAAACAAAAAGACGATGCAGAAACGCTTATAAATACAACTAATAAGCGATCAGGACAGGTAAACTACAGATCTACAGCTGCAAGGCAAAAGATTTTACTTACAGTTATTCAATACGGCTACTCACCTCTTGACTAAAAGAAACACAAGATTCGAAGCATATTTTCTTCGAATAGCGCTCATCCCTTTGGCCGCTTTAAATTCGTTTTTCTTCACAACGGCGACGCCGATTTCCTCACCGTTTCTACAAAATGTAGACAGAGAGTGCCCTGTCCTAAAAGCATGATTAAGTTTTCATCTCGCGAAAGAAAACATCGTTAAAACCAGTAAATTCATCTTCCAAGCAAAATGAACACCTCACGGCCGCCATTTCACTTCGAAGCAAACACATACCCAACTACCAGCATGCATTGCGGCCCTAAGTCCTAAAAGGTGAAAGGCCCATTGGCAAAAACAAATTTATTGCTCTATCTGAAAGAGCATGAAAAACTAAGCCGATTGGCCGTTTACTGCTCTACCCTATCTCATCTGGTTCCGAAGTTATACGCAAAAACTTTGCAAAATATAAGTTGCTGATTCAGCACAACCTGTGACGCCATTCGGTTGGGTAAGTATGTTTAATGAATACTAAACTGAAGCATAGCTCAGTTATTATGAGCCTAAATGAAGTGAAATTTTGCATACTAATGGTACATGATGAGACGCGTTGAAAAACACTTCTAAATTTGTTGTCGTTAACAATGTCGTTCCCAGGCGCCTTGCGCCAATTTTATAAAACAGCTTTATTCATGATACTGATAAGGATAAAATAATATCAGAAGTATGTGTACCATATCTATGCATGCCAAAACTTTACTTGCATGATAATAATTCGAAAATGACATACACATAGATAAATGCAACTAGTTATCCAAAACGACTGTGTTGCCTTGACAACAAAATTAGAAGTATTTTTTCATGCGTCTCATCATGTACTATCTGCATGCAATTTTTTTTTATTTGAGCCAATAAAAACTGAGCTATGCTTCAATTTACTATTCAACAAACATACTTACCCAACTAATGACGTCACACGTTGTGCGGAAACAGCAATTTATATTTTATACAATTTTGCGTATAACTTCGGAAACAGATGAGATAGTCAGATAGAATAGAGCAGTAAACGGCCAATCGGCTTATTTTTTCATGCCCTTTTAGATAAAGCAATAGAAATTTTTATTGTCAATACCCTTTAAGCTCTATCGTACATTGGTATTGAACACTCTTCGTTGAATGACAACAAGAATTATATATGACGTCAAAAATCACGCATATAGTTGCATTGTTACCTTTAGAATCGATTTCTGCATGGCATTCCCAGAGTTATACCATACAAACGTCGCATTGTTTTGACGTTTTGAAATTGTATTTTCGGTCGGGATTAACTCACAGTCAGACCAGAAAAGGAAATACCCTGGTAAAGATGCAAATTTGAAGATATAGGCTCGAAAATAACACTCTAAATAGTGTTTTTGATTCGAACAAGACTATTACAAAAAGATAAGTCCGAGGGGCTGAAGTTATGTTTGGGGAAAGGTATGGTTAGTCTTATTATTACAATCTCGCTTGACTTTCAAAGGCCATAAATCGCTACAATGTTAAGGTTGGCAATGATAAACTATCATTTGGTTGATATCGTCTCACTAGTACTGAATAGAATGGTGATATTATTGTCTTCATAGCATGCACTAAACCCAAGATATAAACTTACAAGATCGTCAGCTTCTAGAAGTTAACATGCGTGGGAGTTGTTGAGAAAGAGTTAAACCACCTTGCAATTCCATTCACAAATGTATTTAATCATCTAGAACATTTTCTCTGGAATATGTCGGGGTTTTTTACGCTTAGCATATGATTTATAACAAAATGTACCATTAAATTAATGTTTTGAAAACCTGAAATTTCTTACAAAATGTACTTTCAGAATGGTGCAAATGCCATTTCAGGGAACCAAATTTAAAACATTTTCTGGGGGCATTCCCCCATTCCCCCTAGAAATCTCGTGCCTTCGCATACATGTCCAATACCTATGCAAGATGTCCGATTGAAAAATCAAAAGGCCATTGGACATTCCATTTGTCAAATGGAGCAAATGGACCTCCAATTTTCTATTGGACTTTTGCGTGTCCATTGGATCCAATGGACAAATGGAATGTCCATTGGCCAGCAATGGATCAATCGGAACTATGCATGAACGGAATAAGAGACCAAGTGAAGGTTGCCGATCGGAACAATGCATCAACTGGATAAGAGCTTCCGCGTTTTTACCATTACGTAATTAACGGGTTGGAAGACCCAATGTGGACATGATTATGAAACCAGAGAGATGTTCCAATGGATCCAATGGATCCAATGGACCAATTATTGTCCAATGGAATTTTACTTGTCCATTGGATCCAATGGAAAAATAACCTGTCCATTGGAAAATGACCTGTCAATTGGATCCAATGGAAAAATAATATGCAAGTCAATAGACATTTCTTATATCAATAATATAACAATATGTTAGTGTTGCTTCGTTCTTAAGAACTCACGCAATATATATCAACATAATTTTGCTTCGTTCTCAAGAAACCACGCGTAAATAACACGCGAACGGGAAGATCGTTATATGAATAAATAAATATAATATGTTGTTGCTTCGTTCTTAAGAACTCACGCAATATATCATATAGCAATATAATGTTGCTTCGTTGCTTTGTTCTCAAGAGATGCGCAATATATCAATATAGCTAATATAGTAGTTCCTTCGTTTTCAAACACCACGGAATAGCCTATATCATATAGCAATATAATATGTTGTTGTTTCTGAGAAAGCTACACGCAATATATCAATATAATAATTATGTAATGTTATTGCTTCGTTCTCAAGAGACCACGTATATAACGCGGGAAAGGAAAGATCCTTATATCAATATGATATAATATGCTATAATTGCTTCGTTCTTAAGAACTCACTCAATATATCAATATAATATGTTGTGAACGTTCAGTTAAGAAACTGATCACGTAACTAGCAAAGCATAATATGCTATATATGTCGTTATATATAGGCTATGTCGTTCCTTTGTTCTCAAGACACGCGCAAGATATCAATATAATATATTTTTGCTTCGTTCTCAACAGACCACATACATAACACGGAAACGGGAGATCCTTATATCAATAATATGTAATATGTTGTTGCTTCGTTCTTAAGAACTCACGCAATATATCAATATAAAATGTTGTGAACGTTCAGTTAAGAAACTGATCACGCAACTAGAAAAGCATAATATGCTATATATGTCGTTATATATGTCATTCATATATGTCATACAACAGGTAAATCTCCAAGGTGTACTATCCTTTACTGCATCATGCCCAGCCGGCGTCCCTCAGGGATCTGCTATCTCGCCGACCCTATTCAACATACAATTAACGATATGGAGGAAAATGTTTCTGAACAGGCATGTGTCAACACAATCAAATATGCGGACGATTGCACCATGGATACGTCCATAAGATTAGGAGAATCTAGCGATTTGCAAAACGCTCTGGACTCAGTACAAAGTTGGGCTGTGGAAAATAAAATGGAACTGAATGAAATGGAACAAAAGATATGTGGATTAACTTCACCGAAGCACCGCCCCCTCTACCACTGCATATAGGAGATGCTATCATAGAAAGAGTCGATAATTTTAAACTCTTGGGAACCTGGTTTCAAAAGGACCTGAAATGGAATAAACATGTCGAGGAGACCACATGCAAAGCAGCTAAAAACCTGTATTGCCTACGAGAATGTAGAAGAGCGAATCTACCAGTCGAAGTGGGTCTCACCACTTATTTAACTAAAATCAGGGCTATCCTTGAATATTGTTCTCCAGTGTGGGGTGGTCTGCCACGATATCTAAAGGACGAATTGGAACGTGTGCAAAGGAGGAGTCTACGAATTATTGGCCTCCCGCATGGTTACCTGCCAACTCTCGAAGAGAGAAGGATTGAAGCCACATCGAGGGAACTCGTTAACATCTTAGGTGATCCAAGTCATATCTTTTATCAACGAACTATGGAACATAATAAACATAACTATAATCTTAGGCGTAGAGACGGTATATTGAAATACGCACCTTTCTCAGGCACTGAACGACACAGAAATAGTTTTGTCCCACGAGCAATGAGACAGGGGTTGCACTAAAACCAAACTTGGTTTTATTAACTTTTTAAATAATTTCCTAGACTTTTAAATTTTTTACTCCAAATTGTATATATATAAATTTTAGATAGTTTGTAAATATTATTGCATGCTTAGTTATGCTCTTCTCTTTTAAAAGACATATTTGTAAATCCATTGTATTTTTAAACTAAAGATGGATCAATAAAATCATCATCATCATCATCATCATCATAATCATCATTCCTTTGTTCTCAAGAGACACGCAAGATATCGGCAATTGATAAAACTAGAATAGTGAAGCAAATTGTGCAAATAGTGCGAATAGTCGACGAATAGTACGAATAGTCCGCAAATAGCCGACGAATAGTACGAATAGTCCGCGAATAGGCGACGAACAGTACGAATAGTCGACAAATAGTGCAATAGAGACTTTGCAAGGCTTTGCAGCAGTGCTGTAGAACTAAATTTACGGGGGCGGGCTCTATTGACAAACATGAAATCGTAAATACATTCGTTGACGTCATACGTAACCGGTAAAAATTATGGGAACCACTGAGTATTTTAATAAAATATAAAACAACGGTAACTTCGAAAATAAACATTTTAATATTGTAGTTTTCCCGCTGGTCATATTCAGCAAATTTTCTCCCAGTACCCAGGCTCGCATTTTCAGCGAACTTGTTGTGAAAAATTGAAACTTTTGCATTTTGCACAGAACTGCCTACTTTCTGTAAGATGTCCGCTGACAATACGAGCTGGCACGAGTGGGAGAAATTTTGCTAAATTTGACCAACGTGTTTCGACTAAAATACAGTCATCGGCAGGAAATATATTTCATATTTTTTAAATTTATAATCATTCTTGGTGGTAAGTGGCAACCATATGAGCGAGTCATGAATTTTACTGATGGAATTTATAGGAATTTTACTTATAAGTTGTGACGTTGTAACTGAAGATTTAAGGGCTTAAGTGATTTCGTGTACTTGGAAAACGTGATTTACATCACGAAACAAGAGAAGGTATCGATTTATTATTAATTTAAGCCCGTTTTTGCGCGAAATTGTTCGCGCGAAGCGAAAACCAAATTTCGACAATGTACGTGATTGGCCAGCGAAAAAATTCGCCGCGAAAAAGTTGGATCAGCCTACTCTTTTAAGCCCGTTCTCCACTAGGCGAATTTATTCGCGCGAACTGATAAAAAGTAGGAAGCGATCCTACTCTTTCGCCGCG